CAAGATCCAAGTACCTGTGAATTTTTACACCCCCCCCCCATCAATTTATTAGTAAAATGTCCATATTCGTTGCTTTTATCCTTGACGGAAATGAAATAAGAGCATCTGAAGTACAATATCCATAACACAGTATAACAGGTTTCACAATAAACGTCAATTAATGAAATTGCTATTTTTCAAGTTTAAAATAAATAAATAAATAAATAAATAAAACAAAAAAAGGGGGGGGTTGTTTGGGGGGGGGGGGATTGGATAGGTAAATCTACTTCATGCGGGATTTTGAACAAACTATTTGTTCCTGCATGCTGAACAAAGTATTTGTTCCTGCTATAAGCCGGTAGGCTGTCAATAGAGAACTACAATATATTTTCTGTCGGTAGTGGTATAAATTCAATTCCCCGCGCTTGCGCGGGATTTCATCTAGTTTCTTATATCTTAAGACATGCAAATATTTGTCATTAAAATCACCACAGGAAGTATATATTATCATCTATTATTACTATACTTAGCAAGTATTCATAAATTGTCAAAGGTTTGCACAGATTGTCAAAGGTTTGAAAGCTGTAATCGTGACATTTTAGTCTTTAAATTTTAATTTTCTTTTCAATTGAATTTTAATTCTACAACTGTAGTGTAACCGTTGAGAAAAATACTTACAAAAAATTAATTTTAAAACATCAGAATTCTTAATCATTCCCAAAACAAAAAAGACAAAATTATGTGAACTGTATATACACATTATTCATGGAACAAGACTAATAACTAAATGAGATTTGTTTCCGTATATTGAATGAGATATTTCCATAATTATGAACAGGTTCAAAACTATTCATCAAAAATATATTGATAGGGTCAATAACAGGAAATATAAAAGTAATTAAAAAGTTTCCGACTCCTAATTATACCACCAGATAAAAAAATAACAATGACAACAAATAATAACTATATATATATATATATATATATATATATATATATATATATATATATATATATATATATATATATATATATATATATATATATATATATATATATATATATATATATCCAAAGTCTCTTTTTGGTAATGAAATAAAAAAACTTTCAAACACTTTTTGAAATATTTTGACCGTGTTACCCACCTTCATCAGTGTTTGAAAGTTTTTTTTATTATATATATATATATATATATATATATATATATATATATATATATATATATATATATATATATATATATATATATATAGTACTAGAAAACCAACGACACTGAATGTCCTTTTGTGTCGGATCTACTAAATAAATAGTCACAAGGTCACGTGTAAAAATTGATACAGAATACTAAAAAATGACAAATGACACGAACAGAAATTGTCAAATTTTTGAGACGCTCTGTTCCTTCCTCAGGATAAAGAAAAGATTAGAAAGTCATGAAAGCAAAGTGGAAAAACAAAAACAACTAGCACTACAAAACTAAAACTAACTACTAAAACCAGTATCATTTACAATTTTATATATTTAATTTGAAAGTTAAAAATTAATAGATTCGAAATAATTTCGGATCTCTGTTTAACACGCCCTGTCTGTCTGTTGTATTTTTGTAAAGTGCAATATGTTTAATTTGAAAGTTGAAAAATAATCGATTCGAAATAATTTCGGATCCCGAACCCACCCGGTCTGTCTGGTGTAGTTTTGTCAGTAAAGTGCAATTTATGTAATTGAACGAATTAATAATCGCTAATTACTAACGACAAAGTTGTTAGTCTACAAAGTTGTATTCTCTTAAAAAGTGTGTTTAAATAATGAAAAGAAACAATATGAAAGATAATAAAGCGATAAAATAAGGGAGAATTTCTAAATTTATTTAGAAGAAAGAAAAAGAATTAGGATTTCTTATAAATTGTGAAATATTATTCAAACTATTATATCGGATATAATCAATAATAAACAATAATATAAGCAATAATTACAAAGGAAGGTAAATACTTGTTTTAAAAATTAATAATGTGGATTAACTGTACAGTTTACTCTCTTTAGAAAAGATAGTCTTGTTTGTCAAATTAGGAATTCGGTCTAGTTCAGCAGCGCCACTTATTTGTAGGTAATTTTCTCCATTAAAAATTATTACACATGCATCAAGGAACTTGGCGAAAGACTCAGTAGAAGGAATTTGTATAGATCTATTGTTTCAGACTTCTTTACAGGCCTAAATTCCGTCATCGTGCGGAATGTTAGTGTACATGCAGTAATTTAACGTCTATAGTCACAAGGAGCGTATGATCTGGAAGATCACTGGAAAGCGTCTTGTTTATGTAGTCTGTGGGTGTCCTTGACACATTTAGCCGACTTTAGTTTCCTTTTCATTTATGTAAAAAGTTATTTTTAATGTCTCATTTTATTATAGAAATATGAACATTCAACTCGCATATGATATACTGTCTGGGTATTATATTTGTTATAGATAGAGTCATTGATACGAATTGCACATATTTTTCTTGTGTTTCAACAAACAGATAGGACTGGACGCAGATCTAGAACTCAAACGTTTTCATATTTTTTTTTTAGATTATTAAAAAATCATATAAAAGTCACTTTAAAAAAATTACATTTGTATTACAGAGCAACATCATATCAGATTCAAGAGACATACCAAAAAATCAGCAATCTAAACAGTTCAATTATAAGATATATATATATATATATATATATATATATATATATATATATATATATATATATATATATATATATATATATATATAAGTTATATTAAACATATGATATTAGGCAGTGTGTAACGTATAAAAGAAACTCGATACGAGTTTCCGGAAAATTACAGCTTTCTCGTGTTGACTTGTTAAGTTACATCTCTTTTCTCTGGATCCTTTAAGGGTATAATGAAATATGTGGAGATAACAAACAGTATTCAAGGTCAAAAGTTCATTAAACAATACAAATTTTGGAGCAGAGCAAACATGGACCTCTAAAACATCAGAGGTGGGATCAGGTGCCATGGAGGTGTGAGCATCCCCTGCCGACCGGTCACACATAATGGTCTAACAATTAGTATGAAAAACGTCAGTCAGCATTTGACTTAATGATAGATTGTATTTGCTGACAAGGTTATTGTATCGACCATAGAACTTACGAAAAGATGACTTTAAGGGAGACTGCTGGTATTCTTGTTTCATCATCTTGTTTGTCAATACCTTACTTCGTTTTAGAAATTGTTCATACGTAGAGCATGCTCTAGCGTATCGAATCAACTGAGAGATATAAATCCCGTATGCAGGTGATGGAGGTATATTGCTGCATAAGTAAGGGAAGTTGACGATTGAAAAGTTAAAGTCATCACGCTTATCATAAAGCTTGGTTGTTAGATTACCATTAACGTCTTTTTCTAGTAAAACATCCAAATATGAAACAGATGTGTCAGACTCTGTGGTATCTTTTATTTCAAGCTCACCGGGATATATCGTATCGACATAAGAATAGAAATAACCATTGGTAATTGACAATACGTCATCGATATATCTAAATGTCGAGTTGAAGGCTACAGCATGTGTTTTCTTCTTTTCACGTATAAGATTTTGAACAAATTCTGCTTCATATGATTACAAAAATAGGTCTGCTAATAACAGGGCGCAATTGGTACCCATGTGAATTCCAATTAATATGACAAAACTGTTACTAATAACTTAAAATTTAAAATGAAATGGAAATCAATTGCCAGTGTATGAATTCTATTTGAAAAGCTTAATTCGAAATTATTATTTTTATAACATGAAGGTTTTTTTGAATTTGCAAATTGCACAAAGATTTCTTTTTTTCGACATGTGCTTACAGTGATGTTCATCATTTGAAGAAATCATTGGCATTATCACGTGACACTAGATCCAGGCGAGCGCAACGCCTATAGTGCAACAAACATGAATGTGAAAATTAAATCTTAATTATAACAAAATTTTCTTTGATATTTCATCTAAAATTAAAGTATACTTTTTGTAAAATCTCCACAATTTCCAATAATCTCACTAAGATCGAAATTATTTGCCTATGAAATAGCATACAAACACTAGAGAGGGCAAAAAGGATCATTTTCTCATATTAAAACACAATTTTTCGATATGTGTGGGTTTTCGCTCCATATTTTTCTAAGCTCATCCTCAAAGTTTGCCAAAAAATATACATTTTTTGGTCAACAAAAATATACAGCAAAGACACCACTATACCTTAAATACACTTTTATGACACAACATTCGCATCTTTCCGATGAATACTTGAAGTCCATTTAGTAAAGGGTCATATCACAAACATGATTTAAATGCCACAATTTTTCAAGACATGTGTAGCGTTGTGGTTAACGTGTTAGTCTCAAAGGAAAATGATACATTTGTACTAAGGATTTTTATTGCTAGGGTTCGAACCCCACGAATACCACATTATTTTTTTAATAACAGAATAATTTTTCTCGATAAAATTTTCCTCAGAAAAGTTTTTTTTATCGTAATTTCATTAATTTCAATAATGAGAACTTTACTCTAAATACTAAATTCACAAATTGCTTATGATTTTTATATATCTGAAGGTATAGGCATTCCTCACGCCTTGTCACCCATCTCCTTAATTCATCTTATTTGAAAAGCAAAAGTAAATAAACTACAAAAGTTTTAGTTGTGATATAAATACGTCTATAGGTGCAAACAAATTGCAATCGCATTAGAATTATTTAAGATCTTTAGTAAACATACACGATTATCTTGCCATTATGTGTGTGACAATTTTTAAACAAGGAAGAACTGAAACTAAAGAATCATTTAAAATTGTAAACAATATTTTGAATGTCAGACAAGATAATATTTAGGAAAATGTCACAATAGATTTCTTCAACTTATTGATGCTGATATAAATGTATTTTTTAAAATAGCTGACTGAGAGTTTTTCTAAATATTGTGAAATGTAAATTGGCTGAGTTTGTTCTATTTTTAGCATACTTCCCTTTTTCAGTGTATTCCCACATGGATCAGAAATTGCCGTCTCTGACATTAAATGCATCCCTCCCTTCCCTCCCACACCAACAGACACCCCCGGGTAATCCTGACTTCGTGTCCCTACCAGCCAAGTACAGATGTACAATATGCCGTGGAGTCCTCAGGGACGCTGTACAAACACTGTGTGGTCACAGGGCTTGTGGTCAGTGTGTGGACCAGCTACTGACCGGAAATCCCAAGAGAATCAAGTGTCCAGCCAACGAGGAGTTTTGTGTCATACTAAATGGGACTGAGGTAATCCATACAGAGACATCTTATAATTCTATTTTTAAAAAAATCATTATTTTATTAATTTATAAATAAAATCATGTATATGTTTCATTTTTCGAAATCCTATTGTAATAATAATGGTAATTAAAAAAAACTTAATTGGATACATCAGTTTATTACAATTTGCTGACTGCCTCTACAGACATTTTAAAAGTTTACCTGCATAGGCCTAGTTATGAAGAGGTCATGATATGGCGTTTGAACAATCATAAGCTTTCAATTTCGAATCAGAATGTTTAGCTCATTTTCTTCTTACTAGCTCTACTTAACAAACTTAATGGTGTCAACTCATTTAATTTGACTATTGAGGAGAGAATTTCCTTTTCTTACCAGCAATCAAATGTTACATATGTATGCGATATATCTTTAAATTAAATATATCTTAATTTTACAAACATTTGTTAATGGTTCACGGTATAAACAGCAACTTCGCTGTAAGATCTGAGCTAGGACGATTGCATATTCACTTTGATATCATTCAAAATACGTTGTTATATTGGCATAGATAAGGGAATCTTGATGGTGAATTTCCCTTACTTAGTGAGGCTTTTAAATGTTATAAAAACACTACATCAAAATGGTTTTACTTCGTTGTATTCTTGTATAACTTCAACCATATTGATATTAAACTTAGTGATGTGTCACTTTCACAATTTAAAGCTAAGCTTGAAAAAATATTAATTAACTTCTATAACATTACATGGGAAAAAAGATAGGAATTTGGAAAAGGATGGTTAATTATATACCTTCACCAGCCTAAAGACTAACTTTTGTTTTGAACCCTATGTAGTAGATCAATCAACATAGATCAGTCATAACAAGGTTACGAATATCAGCACACAGACTAAAAACTGAAATTGGACGATATCAAAAAATACCTAAAGATGAACGAATTTGTTCACTTTGTGACCACAATGAGGTTCAGGATGAAGTTCATTTTCTCCTTGTATGTCCTCATTTTCGTGTACAAAGACATGAACTCATAAATATTTGTTATAATAAATGTCAAAATTTTCAGTCTCTATCTTATGATTATCAATTTCATTGGCTTATGACTAATGAAGACCCTGACATCCTAAGATCACTTGCTAGATTTCTTAATAACCTTCCTTAATAGAAGAAATTAAATATATTGGGGGATGTACAGGTACATATGTATGTCAATATATTCTTTGATATACATAAATGTATTCTTGTAGTTACTTGACTATATATACAATATGTATATTCGGTATATCTTCTGTATATTCATTTACCAGTGATTATACAATTATAAATTACTCTCTTTATCACTTTATCACATAAGAAGTTTGTTGTATCATTCTCCTCCTTTTTTATTTGTTCTTTTGTTTTTATTTTTTTTATTTTTTTTATTTTTATTTATTTATTTATTTATTTATTTTTTTGCTTCTCCGTGTGCCCAAATTGAACTAATAAAGCTTTTATCTTTACTCGAGATAAACAGAAAAAGAAAAAGAAAGAATTCCTTCCCGTTAAGATTATAGATTGCACACGCTCGCAATAATTATTCAAACATAGGCCTGCTAAATACTCTTTGTAAACTCCAATCACGATCATACATAAATATTTTTACAGGAAATGTCACGGAAGGTATTCAGTGCCTAAATAGCTGAAGACAATCCTCTTTAAATGAGTAAAATCATTTCAATCGGGGGAAACGGGAACTGACAATTTCTGCAAAGTAATAACCTGTTCTTAAAATTTTGAAAGAAAGTAATCTGTCTTCTCCATTGGAAAAAATAAATAATCTGACCTTTAATTATTGTAGACGTGGTCTTTTTCCGATTTTTTTTTTTTTTTTTTTTTTTTTTTTTTTTTTTTTTTTTTTTTTTTTTGCAGGTTCGTAGTACCGTTGGGGTTGGGTGGGGAGCACCCCTCATCCATTATTTTAGAGTACTTTTTTGCTTAAAATTTCGTATGAAAATTTTTATTTAAAGGTCGGTAACTCCCCAACTTTTTTACAGCAAGATCTGAACCTCCAACATTATGGTTCTTAATCCCCCCCCCCCAAAAAAAAATGTGAATGAGAGCCTATGCATAAATTACTTTGATGATAAAATACGTAATTTAATTTTTTTTAATTTCATATTTTGAATTGAAATATATGTAAGCATAGTTAATGTTCGTTCTATCATTTGGATTCTCCTCCTTTTTTGTTTTATTTTGTTTGTTTTATTTTCGTTTTTGTTTTTTGTTTTGTTTTTTTTTTTCTCATCCAGGGGACCAAATTATGCTTGTATCTTTTCTCTAGAAAAAAAAGAAAGAAAGAAAGAATTCCTTCCTGTTTAGATTATAGATTATACGCACTCGCAATAATTATGCAAACACAGGCCTGCTAAATACTCTTTGTAAAACTTTAATCATGATCATACATAAATATTCTTAAAGAAATGTCATGGAAATGCCATTCATTGTACAAAAAGCTAGACAATATCCTCTTTAAATGAGTAAAATCAAAGAGGGACGACAATTTGAATCGGGGGAAAGGGGAACTGACAATTTCTGCAAATAAATAACATGTCCTTAAAATTTTGAAAGAAAATAATGTGTCTCCTCCACTGGAAAGAAAATAAATAATCTGACCTTGATTGATAGTATCTGAGACCCTCCCCCCCCCCCCACACACACAATAGAGATTAAGGCATTGTTAAGTGTAGCCATTTTGTTACACCACAGGTACTTGTGGACAGGACCCCCCACCCCCACCCCCCCACGCCCCGATATTCAACTCTGGGGCTTGTTGGACATTTTTTTCACAAATTATATTTATTGCACTTATTCATCATGTGTACCATAGGAAAAAATTGTGAAAACCCCAAAATAATCGTTCCACACACAAAAAAATACCCCACTATACATTATAAGAGAGTATATATATATATATATATATATATATATATATATATATATATATATATATATATATATATATATATATATATATATATATATATATATATATATATATATATATATATAAAATAAAATATAATATAATATAATATAATATAATATAATATAATATAATATATATAATATAATATAATATAATATAATATAATATATATAATATAATATAATATAATATAATATAATATAATATATGTCCAACAAGCCCAAGGGTTGAATATCGGGGGGGGGGGTCCTGTCCATAAGTACCTGAGGCTATGATCTACGAAAAAAATGCAAGCATCAATGAAAATGTAGTCATAATGTCACAGGTACGCAGAAAGTCATTTTATTGACGTCGGAATGTCAAATTGTTGTCGACTAGTCTTTTTTCCGATTTTTTCCAGTTCGTAGTACCAGTTGGGGTTGGATGGGGAGCACCCCTCACCCATTATTTTAGAGTACTTCTTTGCTTTAATTAAATTTCGCATGAAAATTTCCATTCAAAGGTCGATAACTCCCCAACTTTTTTTTTACAGCAAGATCGGAACCTCCAACGTTATGGTTCTCATTTTTTTCCCGAAAATTAATGTGGATGAGAACCTATGCATAGATTAATTGATGATAAAGAACTTAATTTGATTTTTGTTTTATTTTATATTAAACTTGGAATATCTTAACACAAAAATGAGGGAGAAGCGATTGAAACAGAAAGTTACTTGACATGTTTTAAAAGAGACTGCAAGACTGAGATTAAAGTGAGAAAAAAGAAAGGAAGAGGATTAGAAGATATACAGGAGGATAATTGAGATCCTCTTAATTAAGTGCCTATCTGTTAATTCCATACAAAAAAATCTTAATATTTATTGATAACATCTACTTAACATATCTTAATATTTTTAATAGAAGATTCAAGCATTGAAATTTGTATGGTCAGTTATTTCAATTGATAAAATTCGTGTCAAATATTTAATGTAATAAATAACGTTTAAATGTATGACATTAATAACGTTATTTTGACGTAACGTCAATGTGTACCCAATACTACAGAAAGCCTGTTTAGGACCAATAAAAAAAATATTTTTGAATTCGTTAAAACGAAATGTCAAAATTGTTATAACGAATTTGATTCGTTATATCATTTCTTTTTTAATTTGTTAAAATGAATTTAATCTGTTATTACAAATCTGTTGAATTCGTTAAAACGAATTAGAAAAATTATTATAACGAATTTAACTCGTTTTAACAAATTCTAAAATTTGTTATAACGAATTAAATTCGTTAAAACGAATTTTACAATTCGTTATATCGAATTCTTGTGTATTTTTCTATAGACCCTATTTTCAAATTAGATTAAACGAATTACTCATTATAACAAATTTAAGAACTTGTTTAAACGAATTAAATTCTTCATAACAAATTTTAGAATTCGTTTAAACGAATTTAATCTGTTATAACAAATTTTTGAATTTGTTATAACGAATTCAACAAATCTGTGAAAACAGATTTAATTCCTTATTACTAATTCAAAAAATTGTTATCACGAATTAAGTTATAACAAATTCGACAATTCGTTATATCGAATTCAAATATATTTTTGATAGGTTCTAAACGGGCTTCCATAAAATACCGTGCGTCACGTCCTAAATATATATACTTATCATTTCGTCAGTTACGAAATTAAATGGGGAATGCCAATGGATTTATCTTCAAAATCATATTCTATCTGCAAAAACAGAATATAAACATTGGTCACGGACTCGAAATCTCTGTTCAACCATCAAACACTGTCTACTTTTTTCAGGCAGAATCAAATATCAATAATTAGGATTTTAATTGGTTAAAAGACTGATTCTAAAATATATCGTGGATGATTTATAGAAAATAGAAAGTTGAAATGTAGCCATTATAGAACATATTAATTTTTTTAAATGAATTGCAATGTTTGAACACTGAGATTGAATTTTTTTTACCCATTGAATTTATATTTGCACTGAGATTGAAATTTTTAACCCATAGAATTTATATTTGCAATGTTTGAACACTGAGATTGAATTTTTAACCCATTGAATTTATATTTGCATTCTGTACGAGACTTGGCTCCTGGACCAAAAAATTAGATGAGATCAATTTTTATCTCACTCTCTATTTTCAACAATTAATTCTTTTACTTTATATAAAAAGTGAGCTCGCTTAAGTTTTATGGCTCTGGAGAAAGGACATAGGGTTTGATGGTTTGAAACGAGTTTTTCAGTCAGCTAGCAATGTTTGGACGCTATAACAATAAAGGCAAGCGTACCATACATCTTTGTAGTTAAATTATAATACAATAGAGTGGTAAAACAGTTCTCTGAAAGAGAAAATAACTGCAATTCTTGGGATGGTTGCACTCTATGTAATTTTGAATTGGATACTTTGTATCATTTACTATAGGGTGAAATATTTGATACAGAAAGAAACAAGTGCTTGTGTAGAAAAATCAAATTTATTTCTATTTCATTCTTTATGATTTTCGTGTCTTATCAGATACATGGCGACTTCAGTATCCGGAGAGAGGTTCGTAACTTGGAGGTGTACTGTGCTCATCAACAGGAAGGATGTAAGGAGATTATACAATGGAGAAAACTGGAGGTAAATTATAACCTTCATGTTCAAAATTCAGACAACAAAATAGGTCAAGCGGGGAAAACGTGCATCAATCATTTGTATAATAAAAAGGTGAAGATAACAAACAGTGATCGATCACAAAATCTATAAAACTGCAAAATGTTAAGAGGGCATAAAACACGGACCTCCGGAAATTCCAGAGGCGGGGTCAGATGCCTAGGAAAAGTAAGCATCCCTTATTGACTGGTTACACCCGCCGTAAGCCCTACATATTAATCAGATAGACGGAACATTCCGTAGTCAAATTCAATATAAAAGCAAGAGCCTGTCAATTGGTATAAAACACATCAGACAAAAGATGACCCAATGATGGGTTATACATGTATTTTGTAAAGCATTTGAAGTATTTTTTAAATGTTGATTGTCTATAATCTTCATTCGTGATCAATGTACAGGAAAATGCTTTTTATTATAGGTACATGTGAAAACATGCGAGTACAAAGTCACGTTCTGCAGATATCATCCAGCAGGCTGTCAGATAAATCTTCCGAAGAAAGATGAGGAAAGTCATGCAGTGAATTGTGAATTTCGAACTGTTTGTTGTGAACTTTGTTCCCAACATCAAACTTATAATCGTCTAAAGGTAAGGGAAAAATACCCGCTGCTAAATTATGCAATTAATTCCCTTCAATTTTATGAAAATATCAGCTGGTTTTGTCGAATTTCTTGTGGTTTTATTTTGATTTTGATGCTGTGTGCTTATTTATATTGGTTTAGTGAATAATCTGATCCAAATTTTAGCTCACCTGAGCTGAAAACTCAAATGAGCTTTTCTGATCACCTTTGTCCGTCTGTCTGTCTGTCCGTCTGTAAACCTTTCACATTTTCAACTTCTTCTCAAGAACCACTGAACCAATTTAACAAAAGTTGGTACAGAGAATCCTTGGGTGAAGGGAAGTTTAAATTTTTAAAGGGAAGGGCCAACCCCCTTACAAGTGGTGATAATCAAGAAAAGACAAAAAAAGGGTTGGGTCATTAAAATATCTTCTTCTCAAGAACCACTTGGCCAGAAAAACTGAAACTATTGTGGAAGCATCCTGGAGTAGTGTAGATTCTAAATTGTTCAAATCATGGCCCCGGGGGTAGGGTGGGGCCAAAATAGGGAATCAGTTTTACATTGAAATATGTAGGAATTTTTTGAAAAAATCTTCTCGAGAACTACTGGGCCAGAAAAGCTGAAACTTATGTGGAAGCATCCTGGGGTAGTGTAGATTCTAAATTGTTCAAATCATAACCCCCGGGGGAAGGGTGGAGCCACAATTAGTATTACTTAGGGGAATCTGGTGACGAACAGCAGGGCCAAAGTAACTCAGGTGAGAGTTGTGGCCCTTGGGCCTCTTGTTATTTTTGTTGTTCTTTGTTGAAGCATTATTGTATTTAAGGTTTGTTTTGAAGTATAAATGTTTTTAACCGATTTTTTTTCTGTTTCCTGCAATAATATTTGTGTTGTTAGACAAATAATCTTTTTACGCTTTGCAGAGATTTTACTTTTTTGTTGTTTAATTCTATCATTAAATTTTTATTTTCATTTTTTGCTTAAATTTTTATTTCGTAGTTTTGTAAAGTGTTTTTTTTTATTTGGTGTAGAAAGATATATTTGTTTTGTTTTTTTTTAAATTGTATTGTTGCAGAATATCTTTATTTCGATGTTGCTTGTTTCACTTCTGTTTTCAATATTGTTTTTCTTTGCATTTACCAGTTTCATATATTCCTTATCTAGAAACACAAAGAAACGGAGTGTCCTAACGTAATAGTGAATTGCAAATACAACTGTGAAAAACAGCCATGCCCAAGATTGGAGGTAATCCAAGAAGACTAAACACAGTTAATGCGGAAAACGAGTAGTAATAAAGTCTATATCTTCAATTTTTATTTATGTATTCATTTACCTGGTATGGTTGTTTAAATCCATTTACAAGTAGCTTATATTTTTGAATTACTGATGAAAAACTGAAATTGTAATCATATTCATGAAGTTTGGAATGGTCGTTCCAGATGAATGTCCATGCCGAGGCGGAATGTCCCAAAAGACCACGATTCTGTAAATATCATACAATTGGATGCGACTTCACGGTAAAATGGTTTATAGGATTCACATTATAGAATCTCGGGTATCACCAGTCCATAAGTTTATAAAGAGAAATATTTATATGGATCAGGATCATATTCTTGTCATTTAAAGGGTTCAGAGGAAGAAATAAGGAGACATTGTCAAGTGTCCCAGGATCAGCATATCCAGCTCACAGCATTACAATCACAAGAAACCAGCCTAGATAATGTCAACTGTAGGAGAAAAATAAAAGTATTATAATCATAGCATTACAATCACAAGAAACCAGCCTAGATAATGTCAACTGCAGGAGACAAATACAAGTATTATAATGATGATTCAAAAATTATGACTGAAAATAAGTCATCGGTTATATGGGTTTTATAATCTACGTAATAAATAATACATTTCTTCTTTGAAGGAACTTTCAACACATATACAAAGTCTACAAGAGATTTTAACGGAACATTCAAAACAAATGGAATACCTTACAACAGTCATAGAAGGCGTTAAGACATCAATAAAGGATATAAAGGTTGGTATATTGTTTCAGCTCATGATGATTAGTGGGGAAATTGTCCTTATTATGAGTGTTTTAAAAATTATAATAAATCCAATATTTTAATTATGTAAGCTGAAAGCAGTTTCACAGACAGAAAGACTCATTAATGTAGAACGCAGAGTTGAAAACATGGCTGACAAAGAGGAGATGGAGAAACAACGTAGAGATATATTGTTGTTAAAAGACAAGCATGGGACACTGGAACAGCGAGTGACGTACTTGGAGAGGGCGGGTCCAGAGGGAGGCAGTGTCGCGAATGGTAAGTGAAACTGCTGCAATACCAAATGCAAAATTATTTTGTTATCGTTCCGTCCGAAGATAAATATTTATTATTGAAAGAAACATGAAAACCAACACAATCTCTTTATAGTGCACGTAATTTACTCTTGTTATCACGCATTCTCGGCTTTGAAAATACCCAAAAATGTCGGCAGGGGATGCTCACTCCTCTATGACACCTGATCCCACCTCTGATGTTTTAGAGGTAATTTGTATTGTTTAATGGATTTTGAGCTTGAATACTATTCGTTATCTCCATATATTTCAGCTATAAATTTTAAGACAATATGTACTTTGATAAAAAAAAACCTTCTGTCAGTTATTTAAATTTCTACACTATGGTGGCATAGTTCTGCCATCATTTGACAGATAATTATTTCGGCTTGTCAGATAATTCTGTTGACTTCTCGGAGCTTTTTGGTGAGTACTCACTTATATTCATAAAACGTGTCTATGGCCAGTTTATACAATCCAGTTGACGACATTTTTTTTCTGAAGATCTGATAAGTCGTCATAATTTTCTGACAAGTCGACATAACATCTGATAAATTGACATAACATCTCAAAAGTCACCATCATAAAGCGACAAGTCACATAACATCTGATAAGTCGACTTCTCAGATAATTATGTTTACATGTTCGACACAATGTCTAATTGTCAGATATTATGATGACAAGTAGATTTCCGTAAGTGTCATTAGCAAGATATTAAAGTACTGAGTTTCCAGTCATTATAATTATCTCATATGTCAACATAAAGATCTGACAAGTTGATATCTGATAAGTGAATGAAATTATTTTACAATTAGTGGCAGAAATATGCCGCCATACTACATGTACCCTACTGTGGTCCCTAATATGCTACACGACTTGATTTTGTCCAGAAACGGTGCGATCACAGCTTCATCAACACGATCGACAACTAGCATTAATGGATGCTCGGTGTGCTGAGATAGACTTGAAGATGCAGGTTATGGAGGCGGCAAGCTACGACGGAGTGTTGATGTGGAAGATAAGAGATTACAGTAAAAGAAAGCAAGATGCAAAGACAGGAAGGACTGTATCACTGTACAGTCAGCCATTCTACACGGGAAGATTTGGATATAAAATGTGTGCGCGTGTTTATTTGAATGGAGATGGCGTTGGAAAAGGCACGCACTTGTCTTTATTCTTTGTTGTCCAGAAAGGTGAATATGACGCGCTGCTACCATGGCCTTTCAAACAGAAAGTTACGCTGATGTTGTTAGATCAGGAAAACAGAACAAGACATATCGCTGATTCGTTTAGACCAGATGTAAAAAGCTCTAGTTTTAAACGACCGAATACAGAGATGAATATAGCTTCTGGTTGTCCAATGTTTGTAAGTCACCCTGTTTTAGAAACACCTGGATACCTCAGAGACGACACGATATTCATCAAAGTAGTGGTAGCCACCGACGATTTGAAACTACATTAGGGTCAAATTCTGGAAATTGAAAAGACTGTTGGCTCGAAAATGAATTGTTTCAATTGATATTTCAATGACTTTTTCCCAACATTTCTTGAGCACTGTCAATTTAGTGTTTTAAATCACTTAATACTATCAATGCGACTCATAATTATCTGAGATACAGGCATTTTAAAATTAATCCAGTCAAGAAAAAACCTCTGTGAACGTGCACCTATACTCTATAAAAGATGACAGGAAAATGTTTATCTTCCAAATTGAATTAGCAATATTTCCTTTAATGAGTTATGCCACAATAAATTGTATTTCCTGGATATTTAAAGTATCTATTTTCATATATGATTTCATTTTAACAATTTTTCATTTTTTTTTCTGAAAAAAAAAATACCAACAAAACATTAATAAATATTAAGAGGTTATATTGGTCTTTCAATGAAATCATGTCAAAAAAGATACTTTAAACATCAATTAAATAAAATTTTGGTGTAGCATACATCCTTTAGGAAGCTGAAAACAAACTGAATTTTATATGGTTCATTTTCAACATAGGACATCTGCTATATATCTCCTGTAAAATGTTCAAAGACAATGAAGTATTACTGAATAGAAATCGCTCTTGTTTACTTCCAATGGAAAAACACATGCAAATAATGTTTTAATAACTTTATCTCTGATTAATATAATGTTTATCTGTTTCAAGTTGTGTCATTTACTTTCACCTGGCGTCAAAATTTCATTAATATTATGAATTCTGTCGAAGATTACGATAGGCGATGGACTAAACTTGAAAAAGACAACACTTTGTAAGAATGGATTAAAAGTATCAAATGGATGTTGAAATCTTGTATTAAACGGTTGAGGAGAATATGCAAAGGATCTATCCTTCTGTCTTAAGTAATTCAAAAGTGAAAAAGCATTAGATAGATTATACGATCAATCTGCACTGGTCCTAGCCAACAAAGCAGGAAACAACATTGTCTTTGTAAGGCTCATTATCATAATTGTATTGTAGAGGAACTTGGATTAAATTCTGCAAGTGATAATCCAACTTTATCCCAATTTTCCTTTCTAAGGATGAAATTCTTCAAAATCATATGTCAGCTTTAAATATTTTACTATCAATAGCATCAACTTTCGGACACTTTATACAACAATTCCCCAGGATAAATTCAAGACCAGCTTTTTGACTTCCTAGACAAATGCTTTTTCAATAAAAATGGAACTTGAAAATTTACTTACCTTGTCATTGGTCAGCTGCAAAATTATTTTGTTAAAAACATTCTGATTCTACACTTAAGTACTCCGAAACTGATATTAAAAAGATGCTTGAGTTTCTGATTGACAGTATCTATGTGGTTTTTGGAAATAAGGTCCTCCAATAATCTGTTGGAATTCCTTTGGGTAATAATTGGGCCCTGTTATTAGTCGACCTATTTTTGTATTCATATGAAACAGAATTTATTCACTTACTTCACGAAAAGAAACCAGTCACGGTAGTCTAGTAGTAGGGCGTTTACTTCGTGATTGGGAGGCCCGGGGTTCGATTCTTGTTTTCCGAACCTAAGACGTAAATATAGGTAGTTAACTGTTCCTTCGCCAAGCGCCCAGCATTAGAAGTAAAAGTCATGGGTCTTTTGGTTGAGATCATAAAATCCGAGGTTCCGTGTCACGGTAGGCATTGGCAGGATAAAGAACCCTCACTGCTCTGTGGCCCTGAGTACCGAGTATAGGTCTAAATTTGAAGCACTTGACAGGTATAAGGTGACAACTTTGTATGAGTGATTTTTTTTTCAAATGGGGCTTAAAAAATCTACATTAATCAATCTACATAAAAAGTCTCTTGAGGAGGCCTTGAATTCGATATTTAGATGTATCGACGACCGGTACCATTTTATCAATTAACGAAATTCATTTGCACTCCTACGTTGATTCGATACATCCTTTATCCCTTTGAACTCGAAATAAAAGACAGTCTGACACGATCTGTTTTGTATTTGGATATTCTATTAGAGAACGCCATTAATGGCAAACTAACAAGTAAACTTTACGATAACGTGAAGATCTTAACTTTTCTAACGTCAACTTCCCTTATTTATGTCGCAATATGCCAGTATCACCTGCACATGAAGCTTATGTCTCCCAGTTGATTCGATACGCAAGAACATGTTCTACATGTACGTCCGAACAATTAATTTCTTAAACGAGGCACGCTATTGACAAATAAGTTGATAAAAAGGATATCATTAGTCATGTTTAAAGTCAACATATCGCAAATTCTATGGTCGATTCAATGACCTTGCTAGCAAATACAGCTTATTGCCAAGTCTAACGTTTTTTGTACAATTTACTAGACCATCATTTTCCATTTGCCCGATCATAACAAGGAGCTCAATCGAGTGTGACTGGTCGACAGTGGATGCATACTCCTCCATGGCACCTGATCCCACTTCTGATGTTTTTAGAGGTCCGTGTTTGTTCTGCTCCCATTTTGTATTGTTTCAATGAACTTTTGAGCTTGATTACTACAAGTTATCGTCATATTTCATCACTGTAGAACACCATTTATTCCATTTTTACATCAAACGGCAGACCACACTTAAAGCATAAAACTACCATAGAATCAGAACTCTTGCAATGAGCAATATTAAGAGTTTCAATAAACGGCTTAATCCTGCAATGAAAACAGAGTTTATATAACTCATACAGTAAATGGTACATACACAGAATGGATGCAATAGATCGAAATGTTTCGTTATCTTTATATTTCATTATATCAATAACGGGTGAACTTCGCAGTTAAACTCCTTACTTTGTCGCTGTTTAAAACGATCGAATGTTCACTTTTGAATTTTAAGAAATTCAAGTAATTAAATTAATTAATTAATTAAATTCGAAATTCTAAAGAACCAGAGACAAATGAAGCCTAAGATATGAAGCTGTACTCCCGGGCAAGAGCTTTAGGATATGCGTTTACAAAAAACAACTATCACCTATAAGTTCACGATTAGAGAGTCCATGCAGTTCGCTTAAAGTACTTTAAGTAATGACTGTACTTTTACACTGTATTGAATCCCTTATCAATTATAAGCTTTCAATTTTATCAGCAAGAAAGATCTTAATAAAAAACGAAATGAAGTAAACAAGTTTTCATGACTTTCCTCTCATAATCAATAGACATTAGCTTTAGGATTGGTAGAAATCCTTATAAAGGTTTGAGTCCACATCTCCTCAGAATATCAGCAGTCAGAAGTTTACCATGAAGGCCGCCATCTTTATTGTACTCACCCAAGTAGTTATTGCTCAGGCTCTTGTTCCGGCTGAATATGTCCAGGTGAATAGTTGATGCTTAATATATATATATATATATATATATATATATATATATATATATATATATATATATATATATATATATATATATATATATATATATATATATATATATATATATATATGTCTATTTAAGTAATTAAGTTTTCTTTCAAAGTCCAAAATTATTTAACTAAACTTATTCACACTTGCAATGAAATTTTCATATTGGAGGGGAAAACACAGAAAGAAATGTCTTTACATTTCATCCATCTTTGAATTAAAGGTAAGGCATACAAACTATACTCGTATTTTTTTTTTCGTCTTTTCAGAAAATATAATAACATAAAGAACACTTATTTTTGCAAAACAACTAGACAAAGGCCTATTCAGAACTTTGAAAATTGCGGTGAAAATGACAAAGAATATTACATTTCAAATTAATATACACTTAGTATTTCAATGCCAATATATAAGAAAAAGGTAATTCTCTCGATCTCATTGTTGATATAACATGTATGTTCTAACGACGACAAGCTTTTATCTATGTTTAATAAAACTAGAATAGGAATATGATTTACACATTTTCAGATGTTGGACATTAAAATACTATATCAATTTTGAAATATCATATACGCTACATACATAATGATGCTAGTAGCAGGAGATCTGCTTTTGTAATTTTACCATTAGGAATCCTTTTTTGACAGGTATTTGATTAATATTATCTTAAGGACATGTCTGCTCTAGTAAATATTCGGTCTGAAAACAAAGCAACATACGTGATTGCCATCGCAGTGACGGAAAAAACAACTTTTCCTGTAACATCACAATCATTTAGTGTTTATTCGAAAATCGGTTAGTTGTCACGCTGGTTTTTTCCCTCAAGCAATTACTTGAATTATTTAATTAATTACAATTCTTTGGCATGCAATTAAGGTTTATCAACAACCTGTTCGAATATCGGATAAAAGAAGTATAGACTTTTGTTTATTTTTCAGTCGAAATATTATATTACTCGTGTCATCGTTGACAATTTTTAAAATTCTGTATCGGAATAATGCAGCAGTCCTCTCTGTTCATGGTATGTGCCAGCAGGTATATTTATGAGTACACGGATGGTTGCTTTTTTAATGAGTACTACTAATCTGAAACTGTGCATTTAATTAAAAAAATACTAGTAATGTATAATAGTCATTCGAAATCTTTGTACTATCATGGTGTTTAATGAAGAATTTTCAGCAGGATTTTGTTCAAATGCATGACTTATGATTTCTTAAAGGCTTTTCAATGTTTTTGTCCTAATAATTTCTCTTAAATATTCTCCCTTAATTGAAACACATGTTTGTAACATTTTTATCCAATTCCTAATTGTTTTTAAAACACATTTTTGAGTATGCCTTTCTTATACTGGAATATGGCAGATCCTATGATTTCCTGGACTTCTTTCTTCTTTCTGAAAGGTGTTTTTTCAAGTTTGAAAAAAAAACAAGTCGAAGGGTGAAAGATCTGGCGAATATTGTTGGTGTGACAAAAACATTAACTTTCTGTTGATCCAAAAAACTCCTTAACTATTCTTGACCTGTGGGATGGTCTACTGTTGTGTAGAAAATTAATCTAGCAGATTCCTGATTATGGTTCCTTCCTCTTATAAACCTTTTGATTTTTTTGCAACAATTGTGGTTTCTAGACTTGTCCAG